TAGTTCTGATCTATACAAACAAGCCAGGTTATTCTACTTTTATTTAAATTATATGATATTTTTAAAGCGCATTAGAATATTGTTATAACTTATAGCGCTATATAAGTTCATTAATTAAGTTAAGTTGAGTTAAGTTATGTCGGAAGACGACTACGAGTAAGAAATTTTCGTTCTGAGCACGCGCAAATTGTTTAAATGTGCAAAAAAAATTGTCCCTTAGTCTTAGATTACGATTACAGTTTTGCTACAAAAAGCTGTAACCTTATTAATTATTGATTACCCTCTCATATGCCTGTGTCTTGTTGTTTGGCTACAGTACTCATGTGCCCGTCTCTCAGTGTTTACATGTGTCTCAGTGTTTTTAAACACTTATCATCTTTTAGGTTTGAGTCCTTTTTGCTATATCTGGGTTGCACTGTTACTATCAGCTAAATTCACGATTCATTTACTGCTCACGTGCCTGACATGCGCTGTTGTTTTGTCCGCAGAATGCCCTTGTTTTTGTCTGTTACAAATTTAAATGCTTCGGCGACGCCATAATTTCGAAAGAAAATTGTCTTTTATATGCAAGAATTGTGCAGAATTGTATTGTGCAGCCAACTTACCGTAAATCCTCCTATTAAACCCCCCCTTGAGAGGGGGCTTATTTAATTTCGCGAAACGCATTACCGGACTTGAATTACGGTTCCCTTCTTCGTGTTTTGGACCAGAGCAATCACTGTCTATGGAGATTTGGATGATACAAGGTATTTGCAACATTTTTATTCAATTGCGGGAACCAAACCCGAACTTCCAGCACGTGAATAAACCATTTAAGCAATAGAGGACGTCTTCCGTGTTTCTCCCAACTTCCCCGAGTGTTTAAATGAGGCTATGGAAACACGGAAAAAAGTCCTCTTTTGCTTTTATAAAATATTTCTCAAAGATAATTCGACAAATGAAGGAAGCAAATGAACGAAAATTCTTGATTTAAACCGATTTTCTTGATACACACTCATATTTCCTACCAGCCAATCAAAACGCGCGTCTGACGGCTTATAACCAATCAAAATTAGTTTGATGTCACAGCCGTGTTTCCATACTCTTATCTTAACACGGCTATTGACCAATGAGAGTGCACGTACTATCCTAATTAGTTTATAAACCGGATCAGTCCACATGAAGTGTTGCTGTCGTGATTAATAGGCATGCCTGCTAAGTACATGAATTTATTTTTCCAGAAACAAAAAGATGCAGCTTAAAATATACTACCACGCCGATTTTCGTAAGTTTATCGTTTTAAACTGGTGTTTTTACAGTTGAAAGAAAGTATAAGGATTTGTGTGGGAAAAGGGCGCTTTGCCCTCCACTCACGCTTCAATGATGTTCATACAAATCCCTGTATTTTCCCAAGTTTTCAGATCGCTTTTAATTTTTTCTTCGCTGATTGACAGTCTGAAAATTTCCACCCTTGCACATTTATTCTCGCTTATTTGACCTTTGGTAAGAGTAGGAATCTTAACTCTGTTTTTGGCGCTTAATTATGGAAAATTCCAGTGGAGGACGAAAGCTTTTCGTTCGTAAAGTAAAGTATGGAAATTTCGAGTGTGGGTTAAATGATTATAAGATCTCTACCTTAGGTGGTATTTCTCTGAAAATGTGTGTTCTGGCTAAGTCAAACACAGTCTTTCCATTCCTGGAATTTATAAAGCCCGAGTCACGTCACTAATTGTTGCAAAAGGCCTATTAATGCAGTCTATTATTTATTGATTTGGTTATGACGGACAAGGTTGGAGGGAAGGGGCGGGCTTAAAACTTTCTTCTTCTGAAAAGGAGGGGCTCATTATCTAAATGCGATGAACTTTCTAACTTTCATTTAAAGCAAATCAAATATTGGTTGTTCCATGAGTGGGAAAACCCAAAGTAGTGGGGAAAATTTGTCAGAGCAGACAAGAAAAGCAAGCTCAACCCGCGGCCGAATTTGACGTTGTGCGCGCCCCTCCGACACCCCCACCCCAGATGCTGGGACTCATGGTTTGGTATAGGGCATATGTTTCAACAACTTGCCAACCCATCTCCCCTTGTGATTATGATGACAACGAGGGTGACAACAGAAGCGACGATGAAGGTAGAATACAAGCAGTTCCTCTTTTGCCGCTTAGTCGAGCTCAAGGAGAAAGATGATAGGCACGAGAAAAAAATTGCCGCTCGAAATCTGGATTCAAGGAGGAGCCATTTTTTTCTCGCGCCTATCTTCTCCTCGCGCTCGAGTTACTTGGCGGCGAGGGATTACTCGTAGTCTACGATGAAATGAATGCTCATGAAATACGATTGTCACTTTTTTGAAAACTTTATACGTTTTTTTTTCCCTCCAAGAGATGGGTGCTTTCATGGAAATTCTTCGCTGTATGGACTCATTTAAAGAAGTTTAATAGGTTTTTTTGCAACATTCTTGAGACAGAGGTGTAATGTATATTCCTTGAGACAGACGGTGTAATGTACAAATGATGGTGGACGAACAAAGGATGAGATATCTTTTGTTTTCGTCCGCCAACATGGCGGCAATGGCGTAACGTGAAATTTATCCCGCCTATAAATGCGGTTTTCCGCGTTCTATGGCTTGGAAATTCTATTCAAAACATACGGAGGGTTCGGACAATAGATAAAATGGAAAAAAAAAATTCAATGCCTGAGTTTCGCTTCAGAAACGCGAATTCTCAAACGGTGTACAAACGCTTGTCAATGATATAAGTATAATATATTTTGTTTGTAACCAACCTCTTCAGACGAAGTTTACAGCATCATAGGTACAAAACTTGCTTGTTGTTTGCTTGCTTGTTTTTTGTTGTCCGTGAGTCGAAGAGGATGACGTGTCCAAACAAATAACTTGTCCCGTGCTATTATTACTACTTATACTTACTTATCCTCATTGGGCCCATGAGGACTCTTAAGGCCGGCCAGAAGATTGCGCCATCCATTCCGGTCTGCCACCCCGTGCTATTACCGTGTCCCAAATCCACTTGCTTGTGAAGTCTGAGACTCGGCTTTGACCACGTGACTGGTTCATGACATTCTTATTGGCCACATACCAAAACCCGAGAATAGGCTCAACGTGGGTCAACTTTTCCTTGCTTTTTCAATTAAATAAAAATGCTTCTGCCATATTTTCATATTATTTCATTTTTTCAATACATAACTCATAACTAAAGAGAATGTCAGATGTAAGGTCTTGTTGTGTAGTTTAAAAACAAAATAAACATTTCATCTGGAAATCTCAGCGTTTTTCACGAAATTCGTGAATTTGATAATTTCACGCTTGCCTTCTGCACGGACTTTTACCAAAATGTTCATCGGGCACGTGAAGCGTACAGCACGTGTTTTCAAAGCATTTTTTTGCGTAGTCGTTACATATTTGACACAGTAGACACAGATTTTTCCCATTATGATCATGCATTGACCTTGCCAGACAAATCATGGAATAATTTGGGCGACGCCCTATTGCGCGCAATTTGCATTCAGAAGAGTAGATTTGCAAGGGACGTCAAATTAGCAACAATAGCACTGACTTTCACAGCGAAAGCACACCGGTTACGTTTTCCTCGTGTAGATGTTGCAAACATGAGGTAAAACGTGGCACACTTTGTTGTCACTTCGATGAAGCATTGGAATTTACACCTACTAGCCAATCAGCGACCTTCGTGAACGAAATAAATTGAGGCCCAATTTTGGAGACTCATCGCTTCGCCTTTGGGCATACAGCCTTTCGCCTTTGCCGAGGAAGTTTATGAACCTATCATTGCTGGAAGAAGAAGTGAACTTGACGAATATAAAGCTGCGTTCCAGGCTCAAGGACGACTTCGGAGAAGACAAATTAAAAGACGGACCAGATCAAAGGTGAAGTATGTACGTGCAAAAACAAGTGCGAGGGGCACAAAGTCATCACATTTAAGTGGGGCAATTTTTTTGTTTTCTGGTTTATTTCTCTTGAGAATTAGCTCTCGTTAAGTGAATTTTGCGGTGGAAGATTCAAGGTTTTCTTCGTTATTCCAGTCTATATTATATGCCGTCGCAGCATTCGGTTGTCTAGAATATCTTCTAAAAATAGCCCTCAAATCTTGGATACCAAAGGACTTGTTGGAACGTTCCCAAATACTGCTTTCCAAATTTTGACTAGAATAAAGCGAATTTTGTCTATAACAAACGCAGTGAACAAACGTGTATTATGTCGTTGCGCTGTGCAAACCTAGGAAACAACTTCTCTCCACACTACTTGCCGGGGAGAGCGAGCGAATGATTTGGATGTTACAGTCACCGTGAAATTTCCTTAAATAAACCGAGGTTCATATCGTTTCTTTAAAGATCGGACTCGATGCAAATTTTGACTCAAATTTAATGCTATTACCTTCTCTCTTTTAAAAGTGTACAACCGCTTTCATTCACGTATTCACTATCACCCACAGCCAGACTTGCAAACATAAAAAATTCTGGTCCTACCCGCTCTGAGTTCGAGTAAACCAAATCCTAGAATAACCTTCGACCACTCGTTAAATTACGCACTCCTTTCAATTACTTCAAGGGAAGAAATATTAATACTATTTTTTAGGTGAAGCACGCTTAAAATTTAGTTTTAAATTCCATCTTTTTTTAAAGAAAAGTGACAAAACTCCTTACATTGCGATGCCTTGGTCCCTGCCTCCCATCATAAGGCAAGCGAATGAAAGCCACAGAAAAGCAAACAAGCTTAGGTATGCGGACACCTGATAATAAAATATCCACTTAAGGACGGTGCCTACTAATTCAAAGGTATTTTTGCCCGGGTTTATGATTATGCAGAAAATGTAGATCTGTTCAAGTGTTTTCAAACATAATTGATGAATAATATTTGTAAAAAGCTTTAAAATACAAAGCAATGTATGGCGTAATTTCTCAAATTGAAGCTTAATTATCTCTCAAATGCATGGTTACCCCCAATTTTCTCTTTGGATACCAAGAGTACTTACACAAAGATCTACTTTCTCCGGATAGTTTTAAACCGCACAAAATATCCCTGTATTAATAAAACGGCTTGGAAACTAAAATTTGATAGCATTTTGTTTTGAATGAGGGTATGGGCATGATTTTCAGTTGAACATGCCTAGCGAGCGTAAAAATCGCATCCAGTCTGAGGATTAATGAGAGAGGGCAAATTTTATATATTTAGGCATGACAAAATTCAAGGGAACATTGGTACTTAGAAATAACATCTCCTAGGCATGGAAAAATTGGGTTCATGCCCTCGCAGCCCAAAATTGACCCAGCTAAACTTAGGTCCCAGATCTCTCGCCGGGTTGATAATTCATTCCCAGTTTTTGCTCCTCTGGTTTGGCATGCTGGGCATGCCGATCGTGAAGCCAGTTGGTTTGACATGCCGGGCATGAAATTGGCATGCCCAGCGAGACTGATTTTGATGTTCGCTTCAGCATCATATCCTGAGAATCACATATAATCACCAAATATATCTTAGGGAGCTTGAAATTACAGGTTTCATGCCTGGCAATAAATGCAGATTGTAACAAGAAAAGTCATGTTTGTCACATTGTATGTCACGGGATCGACTGGCAAAACTGAAGACAAAAGCTTGGATTTATAAATAAAAAGCACAACAAAACAACATTATTCATGCATAAAATAGAATACTTCACTTGCAATCAAAGATTAATCCTTTTATTTCAAACCGATACTGACATTTCTGGGTCCAGATTTAAATTTGATCGCGGAAAAGCGTTTCAAACAATAAGATAACAAATCTTCTCAGTATAAACTTATCCATGCTTAAGTTTTATCGCGTCGGAAAGTTTCCCAATCAACAGCATTAAAAGACTGGTGAAAATTAAGCTTACCAGGTCGTTCAAGTCAGTACGAGAGTACGACGTTAATGCTGCAAAGACGTTCTGATTTGGTGAATTTGGACTGCCTTCTTAGATAGAATTTGGTTAGGTTTTCAGTGCGCTTCTTGTCGGCTATGCGAATCTCGCAAACTGTTTTACTCCTTGCTGACGATAGTCCTTTGAGCAACGTCATCTGCTTCATCCGAAGATACCCCGAGCAAGCACGAAATCGGCCGAATTTCCGCAGAAGTGTTTTCGGATGACGATGAATCTAGTTTGTTGTACAGTGTTGTAGAGTGGCAGTTGTGGCGTCACGATGTCGTCATGTCTCTTCGCACTTGTTTGTCTTTTTTTTCTGCGGTGCATGGTTGAGATGTTGGTGAATGCTGGACAAGAAATGGATTTTGCGAGAGACTGTAAGTACAAATTAGTATTAATTTGTAGAGAAAAAGCCTGAATATCGAACAAATCCCGTGAATTAGCTTTTTGGCATTCAGTTTATCTTGCTGTTGAGCATGCCTCAGAACTCCGGCATAAGTGGTTGTCAACTCGTTCACTTCGGATTGTTTCTGTTTGTACGTCTTGTAATCTTCTTCTGCTGCTAAAAAGACTAGAGAAAACTTCAAAAATATAGAAACCAAAGCTAAAAAAAGTCAGGTCTAATTTTATAGCTCGAGCATAATTACTTTTGGCACCTACGGTCATATTTTTTCACTGTACTGGTAAAGTTACTTATTTTTGCTGCATAGTTTGACTGTTGTTTGAAAGACAATCAAACGGATATTACAATCACTTTTGGAGACAAAATGAAATATCCGTAAATCAAATGCCAAAATCAGAGTTGGATTTCGCTTTAAAAAAAATGAACATGCTCAAGGTGTCAATGCAAAGTTGTAAACAACTCTGCATATAAGCAGTCTGTGAATGTGCCTTTAGGTCCACAACTAATTTTTCTTTTGGACATCTCATCCAAGCAAAGACTTAAACTTACATTGCTTGTCTGCGAGTGTACTACAAAGTGCTTTGCTACAGTAAGCCTCTGAGAGGTGATTCTGGTAAATTTATAGGACGCTAAAACTGGCTGGGTCCGACTTTTGAATTACAAAATGTTCACGTTTGCCGGCTCTACTTTAAATGAACATGGTTTGAAATGATTTTTTACTATTTCAACTCGAAAATTATGATTGGGTTATAAAGCTTTTAAAAAGGACGAAAACTAAGCTAATAAACATGTTCAATGTAAAAAACTAAGATTTATTCGTTTTTTCAACTTTGCTTTGTGGGCCGAAAAATTTACCTTTACGCAACAACAAAAGCAAACAATGAGGCTTTTATTCGACATATTTTGTGAGAATTTTATCTGATCAATTTAATATCACTAGCATTGTTTTCGTATAGGAATTTTCTTAATTATATGAGCTTTTAATTTAATAATTTTGATACTTTATAAACTTCTCATTTGATAGCTTCACTTTTTTATACACCGATTGAGAAACAAATTCGCTCTCGTTAAATCCTATTTTATGACCTGTTTATTAGGACTCTAGGTAACATGTGAAATGATGTAACCGGACAGGCTTTAACCTTTGGTCCTAATCATAATTAATTGAGTGGAATGGTTATGAAACCCGTCAGACTCCTTTGTTATATGTTTTTGTGGACCAGAAAGTGCACAACGTTCAAAAGAATTCCTATCATTTTGATTGTATTGACCAATAAAAACGTTGCATTAATTTATTCCGTAACAATTTGCCAACAGAAAACAAAGGATTGTGCACTTTCAGGGTGCTTCCAACATAAACTGCAGCACTGTTGTTTTTATCATTGATGTTTGCCGCTTTTCATAACCAGTCTCCTCTAATAACTATGTCCTAATGTATTTTTTCTTCGCAACCCCTAATCAGTTGACGGGCCATGAGAGAATATCGCCACAAAAAGAAGCGAAAAATTTTTCGCTAAGTTTCCTTTACATGTTCCGGCTTTATATGGGTCTACGCCTTACCTGCTTAAAAATGAAACTGTTGTTCAAGTGTCAGTCAAACTCGGGATAATCTTGATTTGCAAACCCAAATGCAAAGGTTTATTTCGCAGAGCCGAAGAGCATGTAAACATCATCGAACAACGCAATGTAAATTGGCTAATGTGAAACCACGTTTCTTTCACATATTTACCATGTATTTATCTCAATTGCACACTCTTGTGAAATTAGCCTTAGACAATTAGTTGCGACCTCTCACAGACTCAACAAGCCAGTATGAAAATGTGTTAAGAGAAGCTGAGTCTACATGTTCTATTTCTTTTTTTCATATTGCCCTTGCATGTGTTAACATTCCATTTCTTTTTTGTTACAGGTAACTTCCAGACATGACGAGGAGATAATTACTTTTCTAGAGAGCAATTATTTGATACTGTCAGTTATTACTGACTTACTTTAAAAACAAAGAACACAGACACTGGTAATGACACAAAAACACTAATCCCTGGCAAGCCTACAAAACAGGAAAGAGGAAGTCAGACTCCTTATCAAAATGTGAAACAAGATAAAAACAGCTTCTCTAACGTAGGGAAAATTGCATTAGAGAGATTTATAATTGCAACGTTATATTCAAGCACATTGCATTGTCAAACATCATAATTTACTGAATGATGAACAGTGATTTTGGGGCTTAGCTCAGTTTGTAATGAACTTTGAAAGATATTCTATAACCATGTATTTTTAAAAGCTTTCATGGAACATAGATGCATTTTATTATACAATGAAAATAGTCTCTGTCTCTCTTTTTACTGATTTCAGTCAATTCCATTTTATTCGCAATGTGAAATGGGAATCCTATTGAAGACTCATTAAAAGGGGTGAGGAGTTTTTACAATCCCCCAACAGGTCATCTCCACGATGACGCTGTTTTATTACTACGGCAGAATCCCTCAGGGTTTTACTTTCTTGTGAAAATTAGAGCTTTTATTATTTAAACTTCGCTGGGACAACCAAATGGAATAGCAATGACGACATCGTGTAACCGTACATCAAAAGATAAGCACGGTGATCTGTTTAGTTTTTTTTTTTTTTAGCCAGGCTTAAAAAATCTGTAGATTCAAGGAATTATAACCTGTGCGTTGAGAGCATGCCAGAGACCGATTTTGGCATGCCCGGCATGACCCAGATTATGGCACGCCCGGCATGCAAGAGAATTTGGCATGCCGGGCATGTCAGAGAATTTGGCGTGCTGGGCATGCCAGAGAATTTGGCATGCCGGGCATGCCAGACAATTTGGCATGCCCGGCATGCCGGAGATTTTGCTGGGTATGAATTAATTATTACTAGAACCTAGGCTTGTCGCGGCCTGGGTGAGAAGGTCACGGAACCTCAAATTATGCTTACAGGGCATGCGAAATTCTGCTGCATGCCAATTTCAATGCAAAACCACTCTGGGGCCACCCCCTCTATTACCAGTGAGTAAATCATTGACGATAGGCATGGGAAAAATCCTTGCATGCTAACCAACATTGAAAACGTAGCAGAAATGTCCTCAGTTGCTCAGTCATGCCCTAGGGGAGGCTTAAAAGTACAGAATTTCCAGACACGGATGAGGGAATGTTCCGGAAACAGCATGTGATCATGCCGGCTAGGACGTATTGCCTCCGTATTGCCCCTTTTTACAGCTACCTAGGCTCATTTTTAGGTTCCATGGCCTGAAATGACGAAAAATTCATGCCCTAAATGTAAAAAGTCCAAAAACGTCCTCGAAATTTTAGTTTCCAAGCCGTTATTAGCCGTGGTATGTATGGTGGGCATTAATTTGGAAAAATTAGCATGACGTCAAAACAGTAAAAAAAACGCGGATTGTATATTTTACATTGTGATTTTTTAAACTCTATCCTAAATCACCAATAAATTTTTACAGTACCAAAAATTATGGTTAGTTTGCTGATATTGTAAATACATTTGTCAGAACACAACTGGACTCTTTTTTCAATACATAATTAATTTCAACGTCAGCGTTCTTTTTTGAGAATCCGTTCACAGCCTCATCGGACAAAATCCAAGGCAATCATTTTCACTTCAATATAACTGTGAAAACAGGTTTTGCCTTGACAAAAGTGTATATCGACGGACGGGCTAAAACTCTCTGGGAAAGGCCTTTTCCTGGGGACAGTCACTGGCTGCGGGAAGGGACGGAATCTCTTATGCCTGCTGAATACCCTTGAGACAATGAAGACAATGATCACAACAGAACTTGGCTCCAATGTAGAGGTTTAATCCAAGACTATACTGCGGGTACAGTCAAAACATAACCAAAGAAAATCTTACAAAACACCAGTATTTGGTCTAAGCTGATGACGCGATACAGACTAATCATGTACTAGAGAGGTAGATAAGAGAACACAACAATGATTTCTAAAAGACTATTTGTGGAAAGCTAAGCTTGTTTTGAAACATTAATTACTTCCAATGCTTCACAGGTGGATAACGGCTTCTCACAGGTTGATTACAGCTTGAAGATTAAATAAAATATTGACTTGACAAATAAGTTTACGCTCAATAAATCAACAGGTTGTTTACGGCGTAAAGATGTTAAGACTAAAGAATAAAGGATTTCTACATTGGCTTTTCATATTTTTATCAGCGAAAGCAAAATAACTGAATAACAATAAATTCTCTCTTCACATAACAACAAATGACTATGTTGACTTAAACTGAATTGGTATAAAGTCGATAACGTCTATACATGTAATGAGCAACAATCTGTTTTATCAGTGTTTTTAACAGCACAAGTGGCAAACCCAGCAAATTTCCTCGAATTCTTCCTCGATCACTTAGGTATTACCATCAGTATACAGATATTCTTAGTTGGATTGTAGAACTCCCTGATAAAGTGTGCGTTAGTCACACGAAATGCGTAGGAGATAAAACTAAAACAGTTTTTACAACTCAAAAATTTCGCAAAAGTGCTGCTCACTGGTTTATCCCTTTAAAAATATTCTAAAAATGTTCTGTACTTCAAAAACATCACGTTTCCACCACGTTTTAAAAGCAGTAAATTGCGGTGATACTGTTGATATCTTCACGTAAGTGCACGTCAGTATTGCTTCTGGAATGCATGACATTTGGGGAGGCAACATTTCAAGTGGACGTTAAGGAGTGGGGGGAGGGGGGGGGGACTGACCTAAACGTCCAATTGACGTTTAATAAGCAGGGGGGAAAGTGAATATGTCGACGGCCCCTAACTCACTAAGGAATAGATCTGGAAGTCCAATGATTTCTTAAACCGCGGTCTAAGTTAGACTTCGTTTAACTAACCGACCATAAGTCTCCTAAAAGGCTTGTTTTAGGAATAGGGAATCTGTTAGAGCATTTCACAACAACATTTACTGCGGTTTACCTGTCGGTCTGCACCAAGTCTGCAGTCTGCGTTTGCTGTACGTTTATCAGTGCGATAGCATAAGCAAGTTATTGACCAGCCAGCGAAGTTTCATTTAACACATTGCCAAGAAAAACATATAAGTTAGGCAAGATCTGTTTCACGTCACATTGACATTAAAAGAAAAGCGTATTTAACCTGTTTCACCCTTTTATCTAGCTGCCGGGTGTTTTTGGAGATACAGGGAAAAGATCAGTGTATTTGTTTTAATAGTATTCTTCCTTATCCCTAAGTATTACATGATGATAACATAACAACTAAAGACATTCAGCGGTACTTACAGTTTTGGAATGTGGACTTGAAGAGTTTCGAATTTTTGCCAGGTAAACGATAAAAAGCTAAGCCGGAAGATCCCGAACTTTGTCCATAACACGATAATACGTAAAAAAAAAGGTGATCACCGCAAAGCCTTAAGACCAATGCATATTTTACAACGATTATCGACTGAGGCGGAAAAAGTTTAAGAATAAACAACATGGCAAGTGAGCTCGATCTACGTGTGGTCTCCTCGCCAAAATCACTCCAAATTCAGTGTAGACACATGCTTATCGTCAGCACTGTATGTTGTGCTACAATAACCCCGCAAAAGGTTTACATCAGAACTGTTAGAAAGTTTCCTGTTAACTCAAAGGCTTTCCGTTGGAAACTTCTAACCGTGCACGGCTGAAAACCACGAGCCCACAAAGTAAGGTAACGTTTGCGGTCTTTAACTCGTGTTTCCTCTTTCGACATTTACGTTAACGCCTGAGAGCAAATAAGGACCTTTCTGTTGCTGTGTAAAAAAACAATACTGTCCATGTCTTCAAATATGCTATGGCAACAGTTTACTTTTTTAAGCCAAACTGAGAACTCGTTCTTGCAGTAAAGTTTCTCTGCACTAGTAGGAGCTTGTCATCCCGAGTTTGATCTTACTCACTCATTTTTTCTGTAGCCAAGAAGCCATAATGCTGCGTCGTCAGACAATCACCGCAAACGTTTCGCAGCAAAATTAAGACAGTAGTCGTACGTCGTAGGTAGTCAGTCAGGCAATCACCGTAACAGTTTCACACCAGAACTGGTTCAAAGTTTCGCAGCAAAAGCCAGTAGTCAGAGGTAGTCAGTCAGGCAATCACAGTAAAAGTTTCACACCAGAACTGGTGCAAAGTTTCGCAGCGAAAGCCATAGGTCGTTCGCAGTTAGTCAGGGAATCACCGTAAAAGTTTCACACCAGAACTGGTGCAAAGTTTGGCAGCAA